AACTCTCTGTAATATTAAAAACGCTATTTTTTTTTACTACTTTCAACATTTAATGATCTTAACTTGTACACATATTGTAGAGCCGAGGAATCAATAACAATATTAGTCTTTATAACAAGTAAAGGACAGTCGGGGACGCAGTTGAATATACTGTGCATTGCGTGTCATTTGCTACTGAATTGAAAACGAGTATATGCGGGTTATTCCATTGAAAAACCCCACACACCTTCTGGTCAAAATCTAATTTCTTCTAACTCTTCTTAAATGATAAAGTTTAGCGATGGAATCACAGACCAAACAAGTTCGTTCCACCACCCTTAAAATGATTGTAACACTTTCAGGCCAGAGGACAATTGCGTTTTGGGCAATTAATTTTGACTTTGAGTGGTTGATACTGTAGCGACTTTGACGCAGCAGATTCTTGGAAAGTCCATTCATTAAAAGCTGTCTCACATTTTAAAAGATACTTCTTGTTTAGTTTTGTTGAAAATTCACAAAAGGTTACAAAGTTTAAGCTTTAGAATAAGATAACAAAAATATATATTATTTTAACCTATTTTGCCCGCAGACCATATTAGGTTCGTTACTTATTTCTGTGAAAGTTGATAAGAAATTTATTCCTCGGTGGGAATGACCAAGGTAATCATAAGAAAAAGAATAAGGTAAAGTAGCTCTAAATATACTTAAAAGAGCTTCATAGCTCTTCAAAAAAAAATCTTCCTATTTTGATTTTTTATTCATGACAACTATTGTTTTGAAAAGTGCAGGTGGTAGATTTACCTTCAAAAAAGCAAGAATGTTAAAACAGTGTATTTATCGCAGCATTAGCAACTCATCTTACTCCTTTTTTAACACTTAGAGAAGAACGCTAAATTCCACTTTATTAAACGTCTGCATGAGATAGAAATTGTTTGTACGAGATTAAAAATCAGCGAGAAATGACGGTAAATCTTGCCAAAAAACCCTCTGTGTTTGGAATTCCTCTAACATATCGCGTCCATGGAAACTGCGTTGAAATCCAGCAATCTTTTCTTTTTCCCGCAACTTTTGAAAATCTCGTCGTTTATCTCATTTTCATTTCCACTAAGACTTCTTTTTATTTTATTTTTGCTTCCTTGTTTTACATCAACTCTTAAATATTTCATCCAAAGTGCACAATTTATTTTATGGTTCTAATTTAACCCAATAATTTTTTTTTTGTTCTGCGTCTTATTTCTTACCTGCTTTCTTTCTTATGCGGCTCCTGCGGTATGTCAACGTACCGCAAGCATCCTGCAATTGACAAGGAGGGCTACTGCCAGCATAGTTCAAGACTTGGGTTTTGCCTGCTTTACTTCTTGTCACATTGGAAGCCTGTTATTAATTGTTTCTTTGTATGGCCCCGCAATACTTAAACCCTCTTATCGTTTCCACTCTTCTCTTTGCATACTAAGCGAGAAAATATAGAATAAAAAAATTGAGGCACCGATGAGCAGTTTACTGAAACAAAAAAAATTCCATATTAAATGTCAAATCTTTATCATAGAAATTCAAAAACAAATACACTGTTTCAAATAATTTTGAGTTGTCTAGTATAGTGCCGTTTGTTTAAATAAGTAAAATGGTAAAAAATATCTAGTTTTCTTCCTCTTTCGATCAAATTTTCTTTGTAGACTACTAAGGCCGAATAAGCCATCATGTCAATTCTTCTTTCCCGAGTTGATACACGTAATGCCACTGTCTTCCTTAGTTCTACTCAAAATCACTGATGGTAGAAATCCCTAAAAATCTTTTCTTTACCGATAACAAGCTAAAAAGCAGCAAGTAATAATTTCTCAACTGATGAACTTTTTGTCTAAACGCTACCACTTAATAAATTTTTAGTTAAAAATAAAGCGTTAAAAGACTGTTAGGAACAACCTCACTTTTTTCTTAACTGGATCGAGAGAAGTTTTTGAAAGAATTTTAAATAAAGAGGGTTAGATTAAGTTTAAATGATAGCGAAATCAATAACTTACTGTGAAAGTGCTATAAATGATTCAAAAAAAGGCTTAACAAGAAAAGGTCGTTTAAAAATTATGAAAAATTACCTAGGGAAGCGGTTTTTTGTTTATAAAAGTAATCACTTAACAGTACATTCAAAAAAAGCCAGATGATTAGAGACTTAAAGACGAAGTTGAGGCGATAAAATAGTGATAATAATAAATTTCTATATTGGTAAAACTGATTTTTAGAACTGGAAATGGACAGCCTATGCAGGCGTTGAACGTAAAATATGAAGACGAAATAGTAGTAATTTGTCAGAGAATAGTCACGCGATCGTCAGTACAATAATCTTCTGAAAGCGTGGAGTAAAGACTAACAATTTAAACCGCTATAAAACAAAAGCTTTCATTGAATAGAGAAGTATTTCCGAAATAAAACATATTTTGCTGCAGGTTTTGTAACTAGGTTAAGTTATTAATATAATACTAACAAAAAACTGCATAAGGTAGCCAGCAAATTTTCAAACTAGACAAAGGCAGAAGACATAGATGATTGGAATCGTTTTCAGGAACAGTTAAGAATTAGAAGACAATGTGATCAAAGCTAAAGTATTTTTTCACCTTCTACTTCTGGGAAATTGTTTTCACAGAGCTAAAAAGGTGTGCAGCGAACACGGACGTCTCTAAAGAATATGTGGTAAAATTTTGCACAGCAAGACTGGCACTTAATAAACCGCTAAATATTGTAAACCTTATTCAGTTTGTAATTGAGGCAACGCCTAAGCTAGTTTTTTTGATAAAATAACTGGTCGGTAAACGTTACACTTCCAGATACTACAAATTTATGGTTAAACAAAGCAAATAAAATTGCAGTTGATACTTCAATACGTTTAGAAATTTGCAGAGACTTGTGTCAGAAGCATCGTCATAACCTGTAGCTGTAAGTGACTGTTGCAACTAATTTGGAAAAGACAGTATCTTACCGGTGTTTGTCACTAAACAGACATTTTCGTAAGAAATTTTCCATAAAAGAAAAAATTAGAAGCATTTATTGAAAAATTGTTTGAAAGCAAACGATCTGTAAATATTATTTTCCATTTCCATGCTACAAGCAGAAATATTCTAAATTCTAGTTTTTTTATTTTATTTTAATTGCTTTTAATATCATAATTTTATTTTAATTTCTAGTTTTAGACCTAATATTTTACTCCTAACAACAAAACATAAAGTATAAAAACTAATTTGCATTTTTTTAATGAAATAATAGTTTTTTTGGACTTTCTGAAGCTACCGTCATTAAGCGAGCGGTAAAAAATTTGCTGCTAGGAGTGCTTAGTAAATTTGACGAACAGCTCAGGCAGGCTAATAAAAGTTTATACTAGTTTGTGTTGCAGGTAGTAAATAGATGATAGAAACTCAAATCCTAAAAAGATTAGATAACCTTAAATTCAGGGTTTAAAAAAGACCTTCAAAATGGCTGCTGTTTAGATAAAAATTTAATTCCTGATTCTTTTAAAACGGACAGATTTAACCTTCTAACATCGTTTGTTTTTACTAACAGTCATAAAAGATATTCCAAATGCATTTTTATCATACATTTAAGTAGATTCTGGTGATCAGACTTCTGCTGTCAAAATAATTAAAAGGTTTGAAAAGTGAGGATTGTTCGACTAGTAGAGTCGAAAAATTTAAATGTTTTGAGTGAATATGTTCAAATTCAGGCTCTTTTCCTAATTCATTCAGGTAGAGCTTTAGTGTATATATATTTTTCTAGGCAAAATTATCCAATCGAGCATTCAAAGCCTACGTGTTTCAAAGAAGCCAACACAAACAACGGATAGTATTTTAGGTAATTTCAAATTTTAGGCCATTTTCCAAATCCACATATTGTCTGTTGTAGACCAAGCAGTATTCCCGAACTAGTCTGCCACCATTCTGTTGTTGCTTGTGCAATTTCATATCATTCAACAGTCTTGACTTTTTTCTTCGCTTTATTCTGGCCATTAAAACAGAAGGAAGAAGCGATTATTAAGCAGATTAAAGGTTTTTTGATTTCTTCATCCCTTCATAATTGAATATATTTTGTTTTAGAAGATTTTCTTATCTCAGGTTTAATTTTTTAAATAATGTTTCTTTTCTATTGCCTGGTCACAGCTATGTCTCGCTTTGCTATTCAGGAAGTTGTAGATAGAGCCACAAAACTTAGGTTCTATGGGATTTATAGTGTGCCAGATTTTTATTGCGCCGTAATGCAAAGAGAATGGCTTTTTAATGATTAATTTATGGTTCTCAAACTGTATTTCGAAGATATCTTCAATAAATAAACCTCGTCTTGCTTGAATTACCCATGAGCTTGCCATTTCTCATTATCGATAATGATAAAATTCAAAAGATTTTTATCTCCATTGCTTAACATCAGTTCTAAACAGGGTTTTCACATTCCAATCATTTGAATCAATCAAGCATTAGGAAATACGCACAAGATCAGCTTCCCAACCATCTTCTTTCCAGACGATTAATCGGTTGCAAAAATCGTTTACTCCGTCAGCTATTTTATTCTTGATTTCCACCACTATCATTCTAATCGACAACTGGCAGTTGAATACAGAAAAAGCTTTCCCCCTACAAAAGATTTAATTCTTACTTTGTCTGTTTATAATAAATTTTAATAAAAAACCTTTCAGTTTTTAACATTTTCCACCTCTTTTCTAAGCCGACCCTCCAGATCGTTTCACGCACAAAAAATTAAAAATGTACGATGTAAATTACGTGGCTCAGTCACCTGGAAGCGAAATAGAGGCGTTTAGAGTACGTATAATGGTGCTGAAAAAGTTAGTGTGTTAAAACAGAATGGCAAAACCAGCGTACCAAATATAGTATAACTTTCATCGAAACAATAATTGTGGTAAACATTAAACGGAATTGCAAGCGAAAGCCGCTCAGACCACTCTTTTTGAACGATACTGAGGTGGAAGGCATATTTTACCAAAACGGGCATTTGGTTGCTACTGACAACAGCCAGTGGTGATTTTGATTATGGAGCTGAATATGTTTTTTCAAGCGCTGCAGCTCTTCAATCGTAACAAAGTTGAAGATGCCACTGATTTGTGTACTCAGATTCTGAATAAAGACCCCTACGACCAGGTTAGTGACATTAATTCCATTTTATCATTAAACACTTTTAGCAAAATGGTTAAGCAAGCAGTTTTCTTTGTATGACAGGCATACAAAGCATCACCGGTACCTGTCTGAAGCTGAGTTGCTATAAAGCTTTTTTAGCAAATAGTGCTTTTGATTCTTTGATTGATTTCATCCCGAACTTTTTTTTTTGACTAAAAAGTAAATTTGAAGACGTAGTATTATGACTGCTTTCGTGAGGCGAAATCGTTATTAGATTGGCAACAAAGTTTCCACTGCCACCTCAAATTTTAACTTTCCCCATCATATTGGTATGGTTTTTTAAATCAATTGTAGATGGATTTTCTGTCTTACTGGAGTCTATGTTTTGTTTTTTTGTTGGAGTTTATTTGCATAAATTCTTAAATCACTGAAGTGGAATGTCAAATGAAGGAAAATTGTCAGTATCTTTTTGTTGCTTCTAATCAAAGTTCTAAGACCACAAAAGCTTATATTATAAAACTACTGCTAATTTGTTTAATGGCGGGAAGAGGGTGCAAGCAACAGAGGAGGAAACATCAATGATCAATTAATTGCTAATTTTTATCGAAAGTAGGCCTATAAACAATTTTTGAAAGACAAGCTAAACTCAGAGAACTTTCATAACTTATTCATACCGAAACAAGTGTGAAATGCATCTCAAATATTTTTTTAAGGTAATATAATTAAATACGTGTTGAACCGGCAAAGGTGATAAAAAGCCTGTAACTTCCTTCAAAAAAGTTCAGGCTATTCTGTTCCAAAAGTCACACTTTTTAAAGACTCCGTTTTTTTGTTACATTCTGCTGGCTGTTAGGTTTTGATTAGGTATTTGCAAAGACAAAGGGGGAGTAGGTAAAAAAGGACTTCCAGTTAGCCGATTAAGCTAATTTTCTGAACTAGAATGCATTTAAAGTGCACCTACTTTTTCATTTGAAAAACTGATTCAAAATCTGGATAAAACAGAATTGATTTTTTACTTCAGGTTCTTCTTCAGCAGATATGGCATTTGATTCAATTCAAGATCTTTATATTTTGTAAGACAGAAAAAAAATTTTTTTTAGAAAAAAAAGTTTTTCTTGTTAGTTTTTCAGTTATTAATTCAAAACACTGCAGGCAGCATGGGGGCTGAAAATGACTTGCTTAACAGAGCTAGTTTACGTGGACGAATTAGAGTACGAAGAACGAGGACTAGCAGAAATATTTTTGGATGATAATATAGTAGAAACGAGTTCAAGACGGGGAACTTCATACTCACGGCCAGTCTCTTCCTCGACGGGGCCAACTCAAGCCGTTAGGTAACATTTCAGCAGAATACCGAGTTGCGTAGCTCAATATTTGAACAAAATTACTGAACAGCTCTAAACACTTTTTCATGGTAGTCCAACGGCTAAGTGGAGCAGGATCAAGTGAAACTAGAGGCGACCATCGTCTACAGTGAGACAAACAAATAGGCATATTTAGGTCGAATTAAACTGAACAACAAGAAAAAATTTCTAAATATACAAAAAAACCTTAACAAATCCGCCATTCGTGCAACTTCAATGATACAACTGATAGTGAACTTGTTCCTTCAACCGCATACACAGCAAATCTAATATTTTGGAGTTATTTTAGCTGAATTCACTGTCATGTCTTATCCCTTCTTGAAACCTACGACTGTGTCAGTGGAACCTTTATTTTAGAAAAAACACTGCTGCCTCTGCTTAATTTACGGCATTTTTTATGGCTTCATAGTTATCCTTATTCTAGTTAGAATAATTTCTCAAAAAATCCGAAACAACGGAGCTAAAGGCGATTGCAGTCACCTGGATGTTGCTGAGAATACTTCGTAACGCCATTCCCATTTAGCAGTGGAGTTACAATTGCCCCGTTTTATCTTGTCGATTTTTCTTTCTCGTCTCGTAAATTGTAGTGAGGGACATAAGAAAGTTGATAAACGCCAAATGCAGCCCAAAGGTTCTGAGAGTACTCTTTCATCTAAATCATGCACAGTTGAAGGGGCAAAGCAAGAATTGGGTTTTTTCCGCAAAGTTTGATCAGTGCACAAGTTATATACTCTTCTTGTTTTATTTATCCCACATATTGCTCCCAGTTTACCTTGCAATTTAATCAATGACTGCAAAAATCAAAATATGACTTTGCAAAGACCGAAGTTTTCATTATGTTAATAAAACTTCGTCTTACAGCAATAGAGTGCGAAACATCGCTTTGATTCATCAAAGTATTACGGAATGGGAGTAATTTCTGCGACGCTTCTCCTCTGAAAGAGTAAGGCAAGCTTAACGAACTACATTACCGGCGTCAAAATCGCACTGTAAATATTGTTACCACTAACATTATCTGTATTAACATAGGCAAAAGGCATCTTGCTTTTACGTGTTGAAGGTCCATCCGCTCAGACACGGAAAAACTCAATGCAGAGGTCCGTCAGTGCTGTACCGGTTTTTTAAATTAGCGTTGCTGCCGCGGTATTGTGAAATCCGCTTGAACCTTGACCTCAAACCTTTTCGATGCGACCTCTGACGATGATGTCGTAGAGAGGCTCTTTGCAAACATACTTTAAGAAGTGGATCGCCGTGGCCAAAATCGGTCAACATCTGCAAGAACTTCTAAGCAACAAAGGCGCATTGGGAGCGAGGAAGATTATAAATCAAAGTTACAGCTTTCCCTTGTTGTTTAATTAGTTATTATTGGTTAAAGACGCTTAGGCTTAGGAAGGGAAAAAAAATTTAGAAATAATTCCTGGTTGAGAAGTAGCACACTATTCTTCGTATACCGTATTTACGGCTGCATCCATAGACTTGCATCCACCGAGCTGTGCAGAAAGGAGCGTAACAACTGAGAGAATATTGTTTCAGAGTGTGGTGTATGGGAGGTGGAATTCTTTGGTAATCTTTTACATTGATAGAGCCAGCTCAATGCATTTTTGGCAGTAAATTTGGGAAAGAGGACATTGGAGGAGACAGCTTTGAAGAGCAGGAGACATCAGCCACGTAATCCGTCCTTCACTTCCTTTCATATATATAAACATAAATAAACAAATAAATAAATAAATGTATATATATATATATATATATACCATAGTATCATTTGATACCGGGTTCTGAAGGAAGGAAAGCTAGCGGCAAGTCAGCTAGAATTTTATTAATTATAATAATATATAACTCTTATGAAACTCTTTAACTCCACTACTTTAGTGACGGATAACTAGTTAAAATTTAGTTTTTTAAAACAATTTTGCGAAATTTTTTAGTAAAAATTACTGTTATGATTACTTTTTCGGTGCGTATCGCTTTGCTTGCTTACTGAACTTTTTTAACCCAAATACATCACACTCAGTACTGCTTTTTAACTGCAAGTGCTTCTTTGCTACTTTTTTTCTCAGGGCTTCCTAGTATAATACAGTGGAAATTTTTATACGTTTGATCAGTGAATCTGCTCGGAAATGCTGTTCTGGAACTGCTCATTGCTCTCCATTTTTCTGCAAAAATACTGGAGTTATTGACATTTTTTTCAATAGTTCGGGGCCTATTTGTAAAGGTCATTTCGCGTTAGGTTTCAGACTAAAAGTTTCTTTTTCATGCTAGTTACGGTTGCTGGTCTTCTCAATATGCCTTCAAGTCTCAGATTAATGCACTGCTGCAGCAATAAAAAAAACAATACCAGCAATCAAAAAACACTGCCGAGCCTGATATACTAAAGTTAGAAGGGTTCAGTAAGCAAGCGAAGCAATACGAAGCGAAAGGGTAATCATAATAGTAATTTTTCAAAAAAGATTTGTAAAATTGTTCAAAAATGAAAAAACATAAACTATTTATCCGTTACTAAAGTAGTAGAGACAAAGAGTTTTATAAGAATTATATTTATTATTATAATTTAAAAAATTTCAGTTGAAACAGAGGCTCTGTCACTTGCGAAAACGCCAAAACACTGTTTCAATTGGGGTTTTTTCTGTCTGCCGTAATTGATTGCACCGTAACTCGTCATATCAGAAAGTAACCATCTTGCAATTTTTGTATGTTGCGCAAAAGTCGTTTCTCTAAAACATGTTCTTTTTTAAAAAACTTAAAATGCTGTTTTTGGATAATGAGCGTTTTGAATCTTCGTTCTACTTCAAATTAAAAAAAGATTTGTCAATATAAATACACCATATTTCTGAATCTGAAAAAGAAGGGTTTTCAAATGAAGTAAAAATAAGGAAAATTCTTTGCGATGTGATAAAA